TGCCTCCCTTATGTGACGTTGAATGTGTTGCTTTCTGTGGTAAGAACTGCTGGAATGCACTGAATGTTCTGTGAGCTGGCAATATTCATGAATACATGTAGCTGATGAATTCCTCAAGACATGTACCTTTACCCCAGTTTCTAATAAGCGAGATGTTAATTGCCAACATATTCTTTGGTAATGGTTTAAACAATCATAAATATTATGCTTTCAGTAGTAGAAAAAAGTAACTCAAAATCTTTTTCTTCCCAAAGCAGTTACAATTTGTTTGTGCGATATCTCAATGAGCATCACACAAATTACCCTGGCTATAGGTGTAGGGTGATTTGTCAGCTTTGCTATATAAAAATGTACTAGTACTATGTGCTTTAGTGTCTATTCTCAGTGCTTTATCACAACACAACATTTTGCAAGCAAGCTAATACAGAACTGTAACTCTTCATTTCTTCATTAAACCAATTACCAAAATTAAAAGATTCCATGTTGCCATGCATCTTTTCAGTACTGTTATAGATTACAGCTGAAACCAGCATGTGGTAACAACAAAAAAGTGGCACACAAGGCATTAGCCGAGTGTGTCACTGATGTGCTTACCACACAATTTTTAGCAAGTATGAAGAAACCAAAAAATGTTAATGATGCCATCTATATGTCTGTCCTCTAGTAGATCATACATGTAAGTAAGAACCAATCAAAATTTCAGAATGATTTGACATAATGGTATGCATTGGTTTATCAGACTGATGCAGTTCTAATTTATAAAACTGTAGCTCTGGTGTGGGGTGTAAGATTTGCTCTGCATGCTAGTAATATTTTGGAGCATGAGTTTTGTTGCATCAACCTCATTATACTTGCAGCATCACTATTTTATATGGTCTGTGCTATTACTTAGCATAATTTTATGATAGCAAGTAATATAGTCTACTCCTTGCAGAGTTTAATCACATTTTAGCATTGCTGAAGCTCAAGCAACATTCGCAGATTTATTTCGTTCGCTTTAGTTTTCCCTCCTCTCCCTCCCTAGTTACTGTGTACAGACAATTAAAATGACAGCTTTTTTGATTACTATGTATAATTACATATGATTATGTTCTCTTACTCTTCAATGTTATTAGTATGCAAATTATTTCATGTTAGTAACTAGCCAAAAAAAATCTGTGTTATCTTGTATATCTATCAGTTTACTTGTTTCTTATGCTGGAGTATTTTTACTCTATTATATTTAAAGTAGTGAATGTTTCAATACTAGAGAATTATTTAGTAAATTAAAGTATGTAGTTAATTATTAATAAAGGCTGTCTTTCATCCCAAACACTGCCTAGCTTATTGTGTTGTGTAATTTAGATATATAAGACACTGTATATGGCTTATGTGACAGGCTTTAAGAGATTCTAATGAAACAGTCATGGCAACCTGACTTCTTGCTACAGTGTGTATGCACATCTACATGAAAATTGTACATATTTTGTGATAACAACAGGAAAAGTAATGTAGAAATGTAAATAACAGAGTGGATATATCAAGTCAGCAAGGTTGATTTTTGTCACTGTTAAGGGATGTGCGCTATATACCGGTAGCTAGAGAAAATGGTATAAACATCTAATAATCTTCAAATGTAAATACATGCCCAGATGGCAAATACTATGGCACACAATTTAAAGAGAAAATTTGTTTACTTCAAAGCCATTTCACTTAGATTAGCTTAAGTGTTTCCTTGCAACAGTTTACTTATGCATAACAAGTTCCTAAAACATGAGAAGTTACATCAGTTTTGTTTTATAGCAGAACACACTTTACTGAGAAGATAAAAACAGAGGTAATATTATCATTACAATATGCCACTTATGTAATAATATTGCATTCATTTAGCCATTAATTTAAGCCAAAAAAAATACATTTTTTTTACATATTCTTGATTGTAATACCATCAACATTACTAGCAGTAGTGCATATTGAGTACTATTGACTTATTAGTAACAGTAAACTTAAATTGCAGGCTTCTTAAAATGACTCAGGAAGTTGGTACAGTGGAAGCTGTTGAAGGGTCTCTAGATGTATCACTCTACCCAATTGGCTCATTTCTGAAGATAATGCCCTATCACGTAAGTAGAGTATTCTAACTGAGGAGAAATAATATAGCGGAACTCCGACGGCCCAAAGGGCTGCCAAGTGGAGCCCCGTACTCATATAGGAAAGAAAAAGATTTTCTCATGGTCATCATGACTGGCGGCATTGCTTGTGGGTGGGTACGCACAACAGAGGTGATGGCGATGACAGCGTTGCACAAGATGGTGGTCATACTCCAGCTTTTGACAGAGACATGCAGCCTGTTAAAACAAGGTATCCACTGTCCAGCATTATGTGACCATATTGCGGACTCAGGTTTAGAGTTCATCGAGGTTACCTGTTTTCTTTAAGTTGACCGCTGACCAAGTGCTGGTTTTTGATTGGATCGCAGGCTCTCGTCAGGTTAACATGTTGTAAACAGGGTCGGGCTGTTTGGAAGGCAGCTAATGCTAACCCAGGATTAAAAAAGTTAACCAAAGTATAAATTTTTATAGTATACAAATGTTTTTCACTGCTTTTGTTTTTGTATTTTGAGATTATTCAAACTGAAAACAATATAAGAAAACCTGACTGCAAAGTTACAAAACTCAAATCAAAATTCTCGCTTATCCTGGGTTAGCTTAATTGAGCTTTTAACAACCTGGCCCAGGAGCTCTGCTTTAAGGCTTGGCTAAATCTATATGCCGGTATTATTTTACTTTCGCATTAGTATGGTGTTACATAACACATGATTTGAGACGACATACAATACCTATTTTTGCTTTTATATGTACAGTGTCTATGGTTATTAGCGGACACTACAGACAGTCCCCCCAGTGTCTTCTTAATGAAGGTTTCTTTGTAAAATGACCTACACAGTGTAGCTCAACAGTAGTTTTCTGGTCAGAGCATCGGTTTTGCAGGAAGTCATAAGTTTGAATTTAATCAGGGTCTCTGGATGTTTTTTCAGATTGTCTCACACTCATGACAAGCTGATCAACATCTTTTCATGTCAGCTCAACTCGTACACCAGTCCCAGTGGCATATCTAAGGGAGGGGCACGGGTGGCTGGCTCCCCCCTTATTTTGGGTAAAACAAAATCGCAAAAGGAAGGAAAGTGGGCAGGGCAAGCAATAACCCCCCGCTTAGCTCAAGTGTAGATGGTGTTGGGGGAATTAGCTGACATGTAGACAAAATGTAGAAACACAACTTATATTCTGAACGATAAACAGGAAGTTCTGACAATACTCGATACTCGTAAAACGGATGAAGAAGACCTTGGTTCTCTCGCTCGATCTCAACTTAGTTCCATGTGCTCTGTCACATGACCTTGTTTGTGTCCCATGATTCCACTACACAAGGTCTGGATCTGCCACTGAGTCTACACATTTACATGTACCATCATTTCTTTTCTATCACAAACTTTACTAGTCTCCCTCGCAGCCATTTTTAGTGTCCTCACACAATGCTCCTCCCCACTAACCCTACGTTTGTGGGGAGAAGTGATGACACAAAAAACAGCTGCGAGGGAGACTAAGACTTTACTGATCATAGCAGTAAAGGTGGCATAGTATCATAGTAGTAAGATAACATAACTCGTGTAGAGTTCTCTGTAGCACATTGAATATATGCGGGCGGGTGGTCAAAGGTTTGAGAACCTAACAAGGACTTCTTTTTGTGATCTTTTCACAAACGTTATATTCTTCTACCATTCATTTAGTTATCAGGGAACCCAAGTTATGTTCAGCATTGTCACTGTTTCAACAGAGATTGTGTTCATCCGTTCAAAAGTTGTAGAAAGTAAAGATGTTTATTATATAGACACGAGTGTTTTACTGGAAAATACACCACTCGTAAAATTCATATGAAACTACATCCAGGACTCGAGTGGCGTATTTTCCATATCCTCACTAGTGAAGATATCAATGATTTCACAAATATCAGGTTTGTCTCTTAAATTGAACTTAAATTTGTTGGTGTATGATCGAAACGTCTTCGGGTCTTCCTTGAAAATCTTCGGTAATCTTCGGAAATGGTCGGGAAATGGTCGGTAACGTTCTTGTGACCCTTGGACAAATTTTGGAGAATCTTCGGAAACTTCGGAAAGTGATCGGAAATCTTCGGAAAATCGTCAAAAACGCCGTCATCAGTATGTCTACATGATAAAAAGAACATTACACGTTAGCTCGAAGATATGAATTTTATGTTCTCGTAGCAAGAACAGTATCTCAGATATTGTTCTTGTCACTTGAACATAAAATTCATATCTTCTCACCACCGTGTAATATCCTCTATATATTTTATCCCTGATACTAACGTCTTGGTTAATTTTTATATCAGTACCACGTGAGTGGAGGGTAATGTTGATAGTTGTACTTCTTGTTAAATGTTATTTGGATAGTAACAAGACTGTTTTCAACTCACCCAGGCATGTGCCACTGCTTATATGCATCCTATATACTATGTTGTGAAGGAAGACCTGGTTGTGGACAAGTGGATTCCTAATAGAGGCTGGTGAATTGTTGCCACAAGTTGGCCGATACTGAGTGCAAAGTGTAACGCTTGACTTGTTGGCAGCCAAAATACTGCAAGACATTTATGCACTCACAGTGTATGATATAATTTTATTGATAAGACATATGTTCATAATTTGCATCTGATAAGATTTTCTTGCATTAGCTTCCACTGAAGCTAGCCCCACCTTATTTCTTTAGAGGCAGGGGCTAACTGTTTACATGAATGGCCAATGGGTTCGAATTTAACACGAAAAGTGAATAATAACAGTATGAGTTTCAAATTCCTTTTCAGTTTGTTCGAAGCAAGCATTAATGCAATAACCTAATGGGAACGTCATCCTACCACCGTCAACCTAGCAACTTGGCACTCTGGTAACGTGGGCACATGAAATAGTAAAGGTTTTGGTTTTTTTGAACTAGCGCTATATAAGAATATTAGATTTATTTTTAAATTACATAAATTAGTATCAGTGCAAAATATTAAAATATTAAAGTATACGTTTCAAAAACTGATCGTCTGCTTTTACGTGATGTTTTACGTTGTTTCATGACGTGGCACAACCATGGAGGATGTCAAATGATTTGCAGGGATGGGAAGCTGGAAACACACCCTGTAAAAAATAAAGTACCCACTAAAATTGATTATTTGAAATATGACACCCAGCCTGTGAAAGGCGTGCCCAAAATACATGAAGATTAATTAAACAGGAACCTCTCCTTTGGAATACTTCCATTCAGAGAACACCTCCATTCCGGAGACACAAATTTGGGTCCCGAAAAAGTTCATCTGATCTTTGTTTTTGTATACCTCTATTGAAGAGATATTGGAGCCGGCTACTAAAGTTGTCAGTCTTCTCATAGTGTCTGAGATCGCGTGTGTGCCTCATGCTACTTTGAGCCAGATCAACCCACTCCTACTCTCAATTTCCTGAACACAGCGAGTGCATTTTACTACGAATTATTTTATCTCAGGCCATTCGCATTGTTGTATTGACCGGATGAAATTTTCTAAGAAATAAAAGCTTGGGGTTACTGGTCGTAATATGGGAATTCCAGAAAAGAATTTGAATGACGATTTATTCAGTTCTTTTTTTCTGTGGAAGTAATTAGAACGAGGTAATCAAATGGTGGAATGCCATGGTAGATTCTTGCGATGTTGTTGAATATAACATCAGAAGGTAACGGGTTGATGCTATCACTCGGTCTTCACGGAAAATCTCAGATCTCTCCGTCCAAAACTGCCTTTATTTTGTTAAAACTTGAAATGGAAATCAAAGCTGCTTTTTTTCTGCTTTGGTTTCGACTTGAGAAGATGAAATATAAAATTTCATTAACGTTTTTACTGCGCCTTTCAATAACATGCTGACCTCAACCGTTAAATAACGTCAATCAAATGTTCAGCGGCTCCTCCCAGTTTCTGACTATGCTGTCTGAACAGTGCTCAACGATTTGATTTGATTACCGCGCGCTCGGCAGTAGTCGGAAGCTTGAAAGAACCGCCGAACATTTGATTGACGGTAGCGAAAAACGCATTTCTCGGTTGAGATTTGAATGTTATTGAACAGCGCAGTAAGAATCCAAGGGCCAAAAACTCTTTCTCCCTTTGCAACTGTTGCAGTTTTGATGAAAAAAGCAGTAAGTTTGGATTATCCCCTGCTTTCTTATATTAAGAGTATTGTACAGGCCGGCAAATGATCCCGGGACCGAAACTGATTTCACCGCAAAAAGTATGGAATGGCGTGGACTCCATGAAAAGTCTTTTGATGGATACATATTTTTTTTAATTATCCAAGGTGAAGAAAACACAGGCATAAAAGCAGCAATCAAAAAAGAAACGTTTAACATACTGCGCAAAATTCAAAACTGACATGTGTTGACTGCATAAATTTTTCGTTTGGAAAAAGCACTGCAAAATGAAACATGAATCTTCGAAGATGCCTCTGCCATCTAATTAAGGTGGCTGAACACAGTTTTCGCGCGCTCTTGCCAATGCGATTCATCGCGCGCACAAGGGGAATACAAAACCACGGCGGCAACGGGAAGCTAAGCAAAAGGTTTAATGAGCAGAACAATAACTGTGCACGTGCGTTATAATTTTTGGTACATTTCTTTGCCGTCCTCTGCAAAACAACGTGAAATGACCAAATTTTGCGTTGTCTGGAGAACGTGAACCACGACGGGGAACTTTTTTTGTTATTTCAAATGTTTCGCCCTGTCCCAGATTCAGTTTCTTGATAGTTTTGACACTAAGAAACAAAGGATCGCGAGATTCGGAGGTAGAATATAAAATCATTTTTTAATCGACATTGCCCCTCGGCGTTAGAGTCGCGCGTACAACTGTGTATTTATTCTATGATGTGTCCTATTCAAAACTCAACTTGGCACTGAGGAAGTGCTAGGTCCGAAAAGTCTCAGTATAGACATCATTTTTAATTTGGCACTGCGTTATTACTCTACAACTTTTTAACTGTTAACTGTGCCACCCAGCAACTGATCCTTTTGGATTACATACCTCTTACTAACGGAGTTCGAGGTCCGTACTTACGGACCGAGTTTTTTCCCCCATCGATTTATGGCCCAAGCGCGTGAGGGTCTGGGGTCGAGAATAGGCCCACAAAGCCTTGCGGTTACCTTAGCTGCCATCTTGGATCTTTGACAGGTCGCGCGGAGGATAGTTGAGTTTCCGAAAATGGTGGGTTATATATTCGCTCCAAATTTTCTGTCTTTTTTGCGATTGCTAAGGCTAACTATTTGTTTTGTTTCTTTAAAGATTCGGTTTATTCTGATCCAAAATCGGGCAGGAAAAACCAGACTGGCAAAATGGTACATGAATTTTGACGATGATGAGAAGCAGAAGCTTATAGAAGAGGTTCATGCACTGGTTACTGTCAGAGATGCAAAGCACACGAACTTTGTAGAGGTACGTGAAATGTGCTTACACCAACATCTAGAAGCCACTGAGTCGATTCTGTGATATACAGAAAAAATCCAAGATAAGCTCACGCTTTATATATATAAGTTTCAGCCATAGTAAGCTAAGCTAATACTAGTAATAGTTACCCCCCGCTTTCTTTTATTTCTGCTGATTGAAAACAATAATATTGAACATTTTTGTATGACTAAATTTTTTTATATTTTGTAAACTTTATCACTCACTGTTTCAGTAACTTAGGCATCTTTCCATGAATATGATCCAAACAATCAATTAAGTTAACTAAACCAACACATTCTGTTGAACTCATTCTATCACACGATATTCTTTACATAATACTCTCACGAAGCATTTACAGCAGAGCAGTTTACCATATCTTGTCAGAAAGGACGCAAAAAGTACTATTTACATAGAACTTTATAGGGAAAAAAGGTTAAAAAATTACAGCGAAACAAAAAATTAAGTCAAACTACTCTGCTGTTCCAATTTGATGCTGAAACAAGCCATTTGTCTTAATGTACGAGCAAACGCATCTCAAAAGCAGAACGGAAGTCAATTTTTTTTTTCTGAGACGTAAACAGAAGTATCGCATTACAGTCACCATATATGCAAATTAGAGTCAAGCTTTTTGACCTCAACGAAAACGCTGC